ATTTATATTTTGTTAGGTTCTGTTTTAGGCAGCTGGCTGTATAACCTCACTGTCAAACATTCCTGACATGTTTCCCTCTTCTCTCTTTCTCTCCTCTCTTCTTTTTTTAGTTGTTCTGTAATTCTAACGCAAATAACTTATTCCTGTTGATGTGGTAAAAGGCCCTTGCTCAAGAAATTAGAGATGCTAATTAACAAGGAGGAAAAAGCTCCCTTTTTTTCTGAGGAATGACTGCTTTGGTTTCATGCAAAAGATCTTCCTCTTAGTGCCAAGACCAGGGCAGGATTGACATACCTGTCTGTGAGAATGGGATTTTACTTCTGCTTGTAACATTTGAATTCTGCTAAAGTTACAATCTATCCTCTTTTAGATTGAAGGGAAGATAGAGATATTTGAGAGAAGTGGATTTAATAACATGATTTACAGAAAACTGAAAAATGATGGTATGTTCTAAAGGCTTTCTGAGTCAATGCATTGTTGCAGCCATGCATCAGAAGTAGTGTTTTACATTTTTATAGTATTAGGTCCATGCTAATGTTCTCCCACTGATATACTGATAGGATTAGCTTCTTTGCTTTTGTCCTGGGGGATTCCCTCCAGGGACCTGCACAGCAGGAGACTCCTGCAGATGCTGAGCATGCCAGCAGCTGCTGGGAGGACTCTTAGGATCCTTGCTGCCATCAGTCTGTGTGAACACAAACACTTAGGGAGTGATCCCTGTTTTCCTGGCAGCAGGATGTGCAGTGTTAAAGAGGAACTCCTCAAATACTGAGCTCAGGAGAAAGGACCATGTATTATAACGGACTGATGTCTCCCCAAGTTTCCTCTGTGGAATATAACAGATTGACCGAAACCTGGGGCCATATTTCCTGCCCTGAGTAGATCCCTCAGTGAAGTAGCTTTTCTGTACTGGCCCGCAAAGGATATATTGTTCTGTAATGCATCATGTTAACTGATTATTAAAGTAAGTGGCCCACGTCAAAGCAAACTGCTGTGCTTAACCTCAGTATTGACATATCTTGTATATGCTGAAAAAATCTCTTCAAAAATATTTTTGTTAAGATTGCAATAAATATATAACACTTTTATCACAGCTGCTGTTGAGTCATTTGTTTTTCTCTATTTTTTTTTTTGCCTGAACTTGTAACAAGTAATTTAAGATTGTATCCGCCGCAGATGCTCAGTCTCCTCCAGATTGCTGGGGGTTAGAGAGCTGAGGTAAATTTGCACGTTTGGCACCCCCAGTGCCTATATCCAGGCTGGTGGATCTTGCCCTGGATCTCCTGCCATGGGTTTGCACCCAGCTGTGATTCTGGAAAGCCCCTAGCCCTTTCCCAATGGTGCTCTGTGGAGCTGGACATGAGCAAAGGCCCCACCAGGGCTGCCTGGAGGACAGGGCCAAAGGAAGGGGGCAGATCCTGAGGAGATGGAGCTGAGAATTGAGCCTCCTGCTCAGCCCCTAGTCCTTCCCATGGTCTCTCCTGGCTGCCTCAGTTTCCCTCTGGCTGGCCTTGCTGCAGAGGCCTGGGAAGAACAGGCCTCTCTCATGCCAAAAAAACAGTCGTGTTTTTGAGCATACTCACTGAACTATGGATTGGAAAGAAGGGAGAGCAGAATGGCGGGGGCTGCTAGCTGGAAGGACTGTGGGGAAGGTGCCAGTGCGGGGATGATCCAAGCCCCCTTAGCAGCTGCAGGGCAGCAGGGCTCATAGCCCCCCTTGGGGCTGGGAACATCATGAGAGCTGCTCTGAAGTAGGCTGGGCAAAGTCCACATTGCTCCTGAGTCTTGCTGGGAGTCAGTGGCTGGGCTGGCCTGTCTCAGGGAACAAGGTGGGCGGCAGGTCTCTCTCTAATGAGGGACGAAGTGACTTATTTATAGCTTGTGGCAGGGATCAGCCAGCGCCTCTTCCCAGGAATGGGAGCAGCTCCAGATGGCTGGATCTGCCCCAGTGGCCCTTCCCATCACAGTTCCTCCTGCAGGGATTGCCAGTCCCTTGGGAATCCCTTGCTATGGGAGCAGGGCATGAGGCCCATCTCTGCACAGTGCTGGTAGCCATTTCTCTTCAGGATGTCTGAATCAGGACAATCTTACATCAGTTTCGTCAGTGTTCTGCATCAGGAGGGAGGTTGGGCCCTCGGCAGTGTTAGTGGGAAGAGTGCTTCGGGACGTGAGAGTTTGGGCCTCGGGAAGCTATATCAGTAAAGGCGGAATCATATAGTCTCGCCTCTCCTCACCAGACCATTTGTGTCCCTTCTCACCTGAATAAACTTCTGTTTTTTGAGTGATATCCTGTGTCTTCGGGAAAGTTCCTACGTCAAATCTGTGATATTTGGTGACTGTGGATGTCTTTGACGAGTGAAATTTGTTTTTTATGCAGTCCTTTGTAATCAATCTAATTAGTGCCTCAGGGGTCACTAAAGCCAGGAGCTTGGCAGCATTGGTTCAAAAGCAATTCATTTGTATGGATGATCTCAACCACATCCACATTACCTAGGGACAATATTGCGGATATAAAGCTTCCTCTTTCAGGACATAAACCAATTACTAACTGCCAGCAGGTGTGAGGAAATGTGTTTATGACTGAATTATTTCATAACTGTCTATTAAGAGCCTTCTCAGGATCTCCTGGTGAAATTTCCAGCACTAGTCACTGCTGGACAGTACGTCGATCCCAGTGAATCAGTGGCGTGCTGCAGGGATGCAGCAGTTCTCTTTCCAGCCTACTCTTTTCCTCCGAGCTCACAGTGATGTCGTAAGGCAGCAGGAGCTGGAGGATGCAGGCAAAGATCAAGGACAGAAACAGAAAGTTTCCTGTCTCTCAGGCAGAAGTTTTTGGGGGTTGAGAGCCTTGGTGAGAGTGAATAGGCAAAGCGTGTTAATGTTTGATAAAATACTTAAGCTTAAAAATGTTCTCATGTCTCCTCCCTTCCCATGCAAAGCTGTTTTACAGATTTTAAATGTTGTTGTCAAATGCTGTATCAGATTGTTCTGTGTTGCTAACCACCACCCTATAAATTCTCCAAAGCTTCTGGCTTTGTGTTCACTATCTTTTATTAAGCATCTATGAGAGAGTAGGTGGTGATACCTTTCTGAAGGTAACCGTGCGCATTTGCAAGGGCAGTCTGATCTTGTCACTGCTGTCACTGCTGCCTGGGCTGTAGGTGCAGAGGAGCTGTAGGATCCTCTGAAGTGTCATTAGAAAGCATCCTGGTGTTTTTCTTGAACTGCATTGAGCCCCTTCTACGTGCTCACCAGTGCTGCAGAGCACCAAGCTGACTGCAACAATTGAGTGCATCTCCAGGCAGCTGTGGCTTGTCTGGCTGGATGCCACCTTCTGTGGAGGGGTTAGTACCACAGAGAAGTGACATCCCAGCAGCACTAGCTTTGTGCCGTTCCACCATCTCCCTCCATTGCTCTGTTCCCTCTCAAACATACAAACCATACAAATGTTTTTTTGTGATCCAAAAACCATAAAGTAGGGGTTAACAAAAGTCAATATGTGACTTATTTTGGCAATCAGTGTCAGAACCTGCTGTTTAAGTAATTACCGAGGACTACAGTGTCTTAAGTAACACACATGAAAAACACAACCCATTACAGGTGAATGCACAGTTGCTTTACATTAAAACCAGAATTACTGGAGCCTCGGGCAATCTGAGACATTGCAGACTTGTATTCTTTGTAGGAAGTTTGACCAAGTGTGTGACATTACATGTGTGGATTTGTGTGGTTGTATGCATATGGACTTGTGTCTGTGAGTGTGCATATGGACCAGAGGAAGAGCATTCAAAGAAAAATAGGTGGCTTTCTCAAGCCAAAGAAATAGCTGTGAGTTACAAGGGAACAGCTGGAAAAGGATTAATAGCAACAGAGGTCAGAGGAAGCACACACTACTCGCCTTTGCTAATGTGACTGTCACAGGGAGCACCAAATAACACAGGCAAATGGTGTAGGAGAGAGTTTTGGCTGTAAACAGTTCAGAACTGCTCACAGCTCTCTACATGCCCTGCTTGGGACCTCCTTGTAGTCCTGGGGAGCTGCTACAAGACCATCTACAGCAGCAGCTAGAACCATTGCTATTAAGCCTTTTTAATTTCTTCTATCAAGGAAACAAGGAATGTAAGAATTAATAATATGATCCTTCCTATAGATAGATCTCTATGTTAGCAAGTCACACAAAGGGCCAGTTGATGGGAGCACTGAATTAGTATTTCCACCGAGCTGAAATTTAGCTGTTTTGGAGCAGAGAAACAAATCCCATGCTCAGATAATGATCTTTCTGTCAGAACTGCCAGGAGATTTCCACTATGTAGTGCTGGATTTTCAGGCAGTTAGGGTATCCCTATATTTGCAAGAATTTATGTCAGACCCCACTGAATGTCCGAGTGCAAAATCTGCAAATACTGGAACATCCATGGGGCTTTTTTGGGCTGCTACCTGATACCCCCGTGCGCGTTACTTGTCTGTATTTCTGTCATTTGAACATCTCTTGTTCTGCTTGTCCGAGAGGAAAGGAAGCAAGGAAATCTGGTTTCTACTATAAAGGAAAATGTTGTTTGGGAAACAGACCGGCAGAGGGACCCTGTCATATTTGGGATGATCCTGGGAACAAGAGTGACCCCAGGATGTGAAATGATGGTGAGAAATCCAGAAGTCCTTGTTTCCATTGCTAGGCAAAGGAATTTCCACTGCTGAAAGTCTGCATCACCATTACTGGCAGAGATGCTCCCTCGGGTTGGGTGTATGTTGAAGTGGTAACCATCAGGCATACTTCCCTTCCACAGCAGAAATGGACCCAACAGTTTATTATTCCTTAGGCATTCATTGCTCATTGTCCTGTATCTCTAGCACCTTGCATACCATTATTTATAATTCCATGCTATCCAACCTTACTGTCTCTGTGGCCCTCTCAAAGGTCATTCTGGCTTGATCGTGGTTGTAGTTCTGGTGCACAGAAGAGACCTTTGTGCTTCACGCCTGCCTTGTCACCTCACCCTCAGGTATGTGATCATCTCCCGAGAGGAGAGGGAGCAGAACCTGATGGCCTTTCAGCACAGTGAGAGGATTTACTTCCGTGCCTGTCGCGACATCCGGCCTGGCGAGAAGCTGAGGGTCTGGTACAGTGAGGATTACATGAAGCGGTTGCATAGTATGTCCCAGGAGACCATCAACAGAAATCTCACGAGAGGTGAGTCCCTCCCTTTCCTGCATCCCTTTCCACCCTCTCCTCTAATCCCTTCTGACCACCACACTTCTCGCACCAATTGCGTTGGGTGAACTAGGTAATGTACAGGCTGTGCAAGGAGATTCACCGTTCTAGAAGCAAAGCCCAGTAGGGCAAGAGCCTCCAGCTCTTTGTAGCTTAGATGGTTGGGCATATAAGAGGAGTGATATAACCAGGATCATAAAAATCACCAAAGAAAATCACATCTGTGTTGTGCTGTGCTGTGTATGTGCCGTTAGGCCTTGATACAAAGGCTAGGAATGTCAGAGGTCTTTTGTCACAAGACTTTCTCATCTGAAGATTTCCAAGCCAATGGTCTTTTGAATGTGCTGTTTCCTCTGCCTCCTGTTTGAGAAAGTTCTGCCTGGTTTTGTGTGCATGTGGAGGTGAGATTTCCTTGGTGTGTTTGTATGTCCATTTTCCTGGCTTAATTTATGTCCTCTTTCTTCAGAGAGATAATTTGGGATCAGCGCAACGTCAGCTAGAGACTCCTTAGTCTCACAACTTTAGAGTGCCTGTGCAACATACAGGAGGCTTTGCCCTTGTCAGTCTGATTCTTCCCTGGATAAAAATTGTTACCTTATCTTAGCAATAGTCATGCTGGAATAAATCCAGTGATTCCTTAGGTCAGTGTAATGCCAGCAATACAGGAAACTTTAGGGAAAGCAAAAAACCTTAATGCATCCCTTCATCTATACAGTGCTGAGACCTGAAGGGAATTAAGGGCATTTCTTTTCAGGCCTAGGCACAGAATGGCAGGGCCTCGGAGGGGCAGCCATGCTAAATATAATGTTGTAATTAAGATTCCCTTGTATATTATTGCACAACTGCTGTTGCTGCCTTGACTTGGTAAAAGGTGTCTCCTCTTTAAATACAGGGTGGACAAAATGTCCTGAAAGAACTGTTTATTCTCTGTCACCTTGGAGTTTTTATGTACCTGGAGCATTACATCTTGATGGCTATACTTGGGCAATGCCCACTTCTAATTAACACTGATACGAATGTGCATTTTATATTAATGATTTTATTCATCATTGCGTGATTAGGTACGTGCTGCAGTTATTTTGCTGCATCCCACATGCAGCACATTAGTTGTCTAGGTAGCTCAGTACTTTCTAGAAAGCGCTGCAGGAGAAAGTGTGTGCTGTTGGAGCATGTGTAGTTCTAGTGTTGGTCTGGAAGGGCACCAAGGCTGAGAGCAATCACCGTGGCGCAAGACTTGCATTTAATGTCATGGTTTGTCTGAACTGAAATAGTGACTCATTGCCTGCTCTGTGGTGTGAGTGTTGTGAAGATCTGGGCTCCTCACGACTCCCCGTATCCTTCCACACGGTCACGTAGAAACCCCGGTGACTCTGGAGACCACCCTGGAAGCCCCACCATGTCCCTGTGAGCTGCAGCAGGCTCAGAACTGTGTTCACACATTCACAAGGGAGCCCGGACATCTCAGCATCAGCGGAGGTGGCACTGGGAGCCTATCAGGGAAAAGAATAAAAATCTGTCGAGGAACTTTATATGTCAAAGATTCCCAATTGCCTGCAAAAACCTTTTGAGTAAAATGGCACTTTTTTAAGTCACAAAAAGGGAGCATAGTTCCTAGGTCTTGTTTATATTAATAATCCCTGCCCCACTTCATCAATGGAGTTGATACCAATAATATGAAGGGTTCTCTTGTGATTTCTACCTTTTTCATAGCTGTGAGCCATTCGGTTAGAGGGAAAATATCACACAGAAAGAAGGAGGATCCATCCTCTAAATCCTTTACTCTGCCAACAACTCTAATAGTCTGTAACAGGAAAAATATTAGGGCAGAAACTCAAAGCTCTGCCTCTAGAGATACTCCGACAGAATGTGTTGAAAAGCAGGTCTGTTTTTTGTGATTTGTTCAAGAAACAATTGGAGTTGCCAGACAGTATCAGAAGGTACTACAAAACGCTTGCCAGCCAGGCCAGCCCTTTTTACGGGGCCATACTCTAACCGTTTGGAGTCTTGCATCTTTTCTGCATTCTTAGCATTGCTCTCCTTAGAGAGGCACTGGTAGCTTTTACCCTGTTACTCTTATGAAAGCATGAATACACTTTAAAAGCAAACAAAACAAAACAAACATCAGCATAAAGCAACGTCTTGTTTGGGAAGCCATCAATGCTTGAAGTTATTTACAAGATAGAAGAAAGATGGAAATTGAACCAAACCTTTCGTCTTTTGAATTTCCAGGTAAGGAAAACTGGCTATTCCCTTTATTTTAAGCAGTAAATAATTTGTTTGAAGTTGCTTTTTTTTTTAGTTTATTTTTATCACTGAATAACAGCCATGCTCTTAGACTCCACTGGGACAAGCTAGATGTCCCATTCTCGGAAGTCATTCACACGTTCTAGCTCAGTTGACAATGCATACCTTAGGGATTAAGAGTACAAGTTATTTTTACTTCTTTGCCTTTGCATTTCTGGAGCAACCTCCAAACTGAAACAGAGTGAAGGGGCTTGCAAACATTGTGCTGTGGCATGCACAAGCA